GTGAAAGGAAGAATCAAATAAGTTTAATTAAAAAAAGAGATAATAAATATATACCAGATTCAATTAATATGCAGGAGCTAAAATTTTGAGAGCTAATTTTTTAAAAACTACTCGTGTGATTTTTACAAAACTTGGCGCTTTGGCATAATTTGACTCTTAGAATCGAAATATGAAACAAAATTAGTATGTTATTTCAGAAAAAGTTCGATTTTGTGTCAAAATATCTATGTTAGAGCAATGCTATATATAAATCTAATATATATCCGAAGTCATGCTTTCGAGACATGAAAAACCAATTTGAATTTAGTCAATCGGCCTGGTAGAACGAGAGATAAATGTCTTTTTGTGTGTGTTTGCTTCTTTCACCTGTTTCTTACTTAGTTTCTTTGTCATAAAAATTACTGAATTTTTTTTTTTTTTTTTTTTTTTTTTTTTTTTTTTGTGTGTGTGTGTGTGTGTGTACATTATTGCATCAAATCATATAATACAGTTAGCATAAAGACACTGATGATGTATTAAAATCAAATGTAAAAATATAAATAAATTCTATTTAGTATTGCAATATGTATGATTATTTGCAATTTTCAGTAATTTTATTAACGATTAGAAATTTGAAAGAGACTAATACAGCTAATATATAAAAGATTCTATGTACATACACGAATATTAAGCATATAATATAATAAAAAGCATTCTTTATGTAGCCAAAATGTACTAACTTGCATAAACAATGTAGAGTGTTGCATAGAGTAGCTCACTATATGGCATAAATAACTCTATAAATCTATGCATACTGGATTTCAAATGGAAGAAATATTGATGTATTTAATTTATATATAACTTTTCAACAAAATACACATCATGCATGTTGTTGGTTCACGTATAACTATTAATTGAGAAGGTTCATTTTTATTTTTTTAAAGTAAATCAATAAAAAAAAAAGAAGAAGAAAAGAGAAATAAAAAAACAACAGCAATATCACAAAATATTCAAAAACAGCATAGCTTTAGAATTTCCAATCCACGGTCTCGTGCGCTGAAGACAAAAATTTTTCCATGCAGTGTTACCATTGCTCGCTTTGAAATTGTTGAGTTTATTAATCAAAAATTCACTAAAGTTTTACAAATTTTAAAATACATAATAAAGCAAATTCCAAATCCGGGCTTCCAAGTGCCCATGTTCAGTTGGAGAACTACATGAATCAAAATTTGACAACTCTAGGTACCGTTGTTTCATCACAATGCAAAATACATTCATGCAGATTCTTTATTATTTAGTTTCTTTAAATATAATACATGGTGAAAATATTTGGTGGTAACAGTTTGAAAAGTGAATCGACAGAAAATGCCGCTTCGAAATTAATATCTCTTCTGTGCTAACGCCTTTTGGGCTAAAAATTACTAAACACTTAGAACTGTAACAGCTTATAACAAGCTAAAAATCTCACAAGAATGTCTAAAAAGTACCACGATGACCCTACCAGCATCCGTGATTTGTCACCAGATAAAAAATGTCTGGGATATCACCAGACATGATCTAAAAGCTCAGTTTCAACCTCTTCGATCATATTCAGTGATTTAAGACCATTAATTATATTATGATAGGTAGTGAAATGCAGCATTAAACAAAGTGTGACTTCATACTACTATGATGATGTATATCTTTCCTTGTGCAAAAGATTTACTTATTCGCTCTCAAAATTTTATGCCCTATAAAATGCTATATGTCTAAGAAACACTGAAAAATAAAGATCTGTAATTTAGTAAAATTCCCTAACAAGAAAGAATTAAATTAATAAAAATTTTAATTAATTAGTATAAAAAGAGATAAGAATCTACTAATTAAGAAACTCAGCAGAATGGTTGAAAATATTCTATTCTAGTATAAGGTTTTGCTTCATAATCAAGTGATATTTTTTTTTTTACACAGATCCTCGTATATACTGCTAAAATAATTTAAACAGGAGGAAATACTTTAAGGTATAAAGTTCATTAATTTTTAAATAGATGGTAATTTACATCTTTCATTTAAATTACTTCCATTATATTTTAAGGCTGTCGGGTTGTACAAGATGTTAAAAAAGAAAATCCAGTTTTAATATATTAATATCCATACACAAATCAGGAAGATTTTTGAAACAAGTGCACAGACAGCAGAAAATTATTAACATTGGATATTGTAGAGTTTATTACATTCACTATCTATTTCAGCATGATATTAATATGAAATTATTTTCCCCTATATTACTGTTATGTGATAAATAATATTGAAATATAAAATTTGAAAAATGGCTGAACAATAAAATATATTTCATAAAATAAAAAGTTAACAATATGCAAGTATTTCATGCTGAACTGTATTGCTGCATTAAATCAAATTAAGTTATATAGCTGCTGCTTCCGTAAGTTAATATTAAATTCTCATTTAATTTTACCTGCTTCACTGTGTGATTTAAAACATTTAGTGAAATATTTATTCTATTATTAAACATTATCTAAACCTCATACAACATAAAACTGAAAAATCTTTCCATTATATTTTAACTTAACCATCAAAATTTAAATAATACATTTATATGTATTGCTTGAATTTTGCTGGATATGTAAAAAATTTACAACTTTAACAGAAGTGTCAAAGTATGATTAAACCAGATTTATATTTTTTTCTTTAATGTGTATTATCTCTGTATAAAATATATAAAGTTATGACTTTATAAAGATAAAAGAAATAAAAATTCAAAATTAATTCTTCAAAATTGAGCATTACATAAGACAAATTTTATGGCACAAAAATAGAATTTAAATTCTATAAGGCAAACTAAAAAAAAAAAAAAAAAATTTGGCAGCAAACTAAAAAAAAAGTTAAATATTTTTCTTCATTCAGATATTTCAAATAAATGCAGATTTCAGTTTTTCTCAAAGAAATAAAATTGTATAATTGAGCAAACACTATCAGATATTCTAAGATGAACTATCTAAAAACAAACACAGAGTAAACTAAGTCTAATTAATCATTGAAAAGATCAGATTTGGCAATATATATAGAAGTTTGAGAAAACTAATATTTCACCCAAGAACATAATATATTTGTTCTGAACCCAAGAACATAATATATTTGTTCTGTGTTAGCTTTTATCAGTTAAAACTGAGTTCAATACAACTTTTAAAATCTTTGCAGCAGTGACTATTCATAACAGTTGAGAGTCAAAAAAGAATCAGACAAAACAATATATTCAGGTAATCAGATTTGGTTCTATTAATTATCAGTTTAGCAATAATTTATTGTAAAGAAATCAATTTTAACTTAAGTATTCATGCAATGCATATAATTTGCTTGATAACATAAATTAATAATTTTAATTCAAATATAAAATATTTTAAAGGATTTTATTTCTTAATCTAATTTTTATAATTATTTCTGCACTTATCAAATGATAAATTAATGTAATATTATTTACTAAATTAAGATTATCCTTTAAAATGTGAAATATTACATTAAGAAAATTCATGGAGTCATAGCAACAGCAACATATAAAAAGTACAGAATATGGGAGAATAAATTGTGTGTCTAACTTGTACATAGAGAGTATTTCTTAAGCATTAAAAGAAACCAATTCATTTAAAACTTCGGGTATAAAACATTACAAATTCAAATAATAATAAATGAGACATAACTTAATCTGTTTAAAAACAAGCTTAAAATCTGTCTAAATTTAAGTACAGTAGATTCATTGAATAAAATATGTAAAAAAACTTGCATAAAATCTTACACAGCAAAATACTATAAATAATCTTTCATTAATTAATTCAATCTATCACTTATTTGCTTTGTTATAGGATTATTCTAAACATACAAGTAACATAAAGTAGTAGTAATACAAGTAACATAAAGTAGCTAAACATTTTTTTAAGTTTAATGAAAAAATTAAATGTTGAGTATTTCTTTGAATTACACACAATTCAAAAAATCTCTCAATAAAACAACTCAGAACTTGAAGACTAATAGGTATTCTCTTATGCTTTCATATACAAGAGTATATATTCTTTCTTATTCTCAGCCCACCAGCGGCCGAGCGGTAAAGTCGCTGAACACTGGTAGTTCAGTCCGAGGTTAGAATCCTGCGAACGGGCTGGCTGCATGGGTGTTTTCATGGTTTTCCTCATGTGTAACGTGTATACAAGCCAGTTTCCCTTAGAAAGTCCTCCACGAAGGCATCCCTCCCCTTAGGCAGATAGCCCTCGAGGCTTTTTCGTAATTAAATAACCTAACCTTTCACATTCTCAAAAGTAAAGAAAGATGCATATAGTCTTTGAACCTCCAGTATGGATATAGATTAATTTTCTTATTAAAAAATGTATAGGAAAAATTGTAGATCTGTTTAAAAAAACAGCCTGAAATAGTTATATATGTAACACATACCAACTACATCTTGAAATCCTATTTTCTTTAAAACTACATATTAGATTTTATGACATAATATTAAAATATTCATAATTAGCATATTAAATAAAATCTACTCATATAAATTAAAAACTGCAAAGACTTTTGATAATTACCAAACCAAATTACTAATAGATAATATATATATGATAATTAATTTTAATAAAACTAAATAAATCTTTGTATTACTAAACAAATATTTCAAAGGCAGATGCCTAATTCATGTATTTTTGTATTAAACATGTTAAAACTTATCAACATTATATCAAAAAATATAATTTCAAACTTTATTACATCATATCACAAAATACAATTAAAATACTATAATGCAGTTTTCTTATATGCATGCAACATTTGCTGATTTTATAAATATTATTAAAAGAACACCAAAAAAGGTTAGACTAAAAGTTATTTTAAAAAAAAAGACAAATGGTCCAAAAACATTAAAAAAAGGTTACACCCAAACTAGACAAATACATTTAAAAAAAATTCTAAGATTTTTAAAATAAATTTGCTTAAAAGTATTAAAATGTATACAGTAAATCTTTAATACAATAAATAAGTAAAAAAACTTAAAATCTCAATATTAGTCATACCATTAATAACTAATTTTTTCAAACGCATAAAGTTTCAGCATAAATTAGGAAAGAATTATAGCAACTCTCTAAATTTTTAGTATGAAGAACCATTAAGAAAAACTTGCAAACATATACAAATTTTCTTAATTGTTATTCTTCATAAATAATATAACTTCATGTTACATAACATTAAAATTTTTATGAAATTGATTGAAAGCACACTTGATAGATATATCAGTCATAATCTTGACATAAATTTTACCTTGGCATGGTAATCATTTGCAAAGAAAAAATAGTAAAAGTAATATTAACAACACACAGCAAACTATTAAAAAATTCAAATGCATAATACTAGTAAATTTACTCATATCATTCTATATACATGATGAAAAAGTAATTCTCTGAAATTCAAACTCTGAAGTTTTTATCGCTAATACATATGCTATAAAGCTATGCAGTATTATAAAACTGTAAGGCACTTTAGTCCAAGTTTTTAAAAATATGTTTAGATGAGTTGATGATCATCCACAGCATCAATGGGCACCCGGATCTCTTCAACTTCACAGCCATAAGCAGCACGTGTCAACTTCAGAATTGTATGCAAAGGAACCTTCAGGTAAGGAATTTCTGCTGTGAAGTTGGGCAAAAGAAAAAGGTATGCCCACTTAACTTTTAACCATTTTTACAACATAATATAAAAAAAACAATGTAAACACATTTATAACCGGAAATTTTAATTATGATCTAATATAAACTTGAATATGCAATCTAAATATTCATACACTTATTATTATGCTCAAACAAAAGTTGGATAGAGAGCAAGAATATACCAACACCATAATATAAAGAAATTAATCTGTAAATACACATAAAACAGTTTAATGTACAGGGTTATCCAAATTAAACTTCCCCAACTCAGAGGCCTGTGCAGAGTGTTGTATGGGTCATAATGTGATGAAATTTTAAAAACAGACACTTCAGATCATGCGCTCGAGATTTATTACACAAAGAAATTAGTACAAGAAGTTGCCGATAGGTGGCGCTGTAACACTAGTAATGTGCATATTGCAGCAACGTGTTTTGCAGAAAATAAAGCTTCTGCGCAACGTATCCAAAAGACGAGCCCTACAAAAGTGGAAGACAGGCCTTGCACAGGCAGTTGTTTCCAGCTCGCTGATGCACAATGGCGACTTTGAAAGACAAAGCTCTGTTAGTGAAACTTTTCTACCAGAATGACGAGAACTCCTGTTTTGCGATAAGAGCATTCCGTCGGCTGAAGATCTTACGCCGAGGACCAATGACACCACGCGCTCTACGAGACATGATGAAGAATTTCGAAAGAACAAGACAGCTGGGAATTTTACCAGGTAGAGGATGACAGGTTGTCGAATCTACATGCGAAGAAGACGTTGCTTTGGCGGTCGTGGACCCCACTAGCCAATCGCCACATGGTGTTGTCAGTGTGGCAACTGTTTCTCGTGCTGTTGATATGCTCTATACGACAGTCTGGGCGTGTGATGCATCGAATCTTCGGTTATTTTCCTTTCAAAATCCAAAGTCGTCATCAGCTGTCCGACAGGGATCCTGTAGTTCGGGAAACATTTGCATTGCAGTTCCTTGCCAAAATGGAAGTCGATGCTGTTTGGCCGTGGAACATCCTTTGGACGGACGAGGCCCATTTCCACCTGAATAGTCAAGTGAATACGCACAACTCCCGAATTTGGGCAAGTGAAAACCCGCGCGCAATCCATCAAGTGCACTTGAACCCTCCAAAGGTTACTGTATGGTGCGGTTTCACTGCAACATTCGTCATTGGGCCTTTTTTTTTTTTTTTTTTTTTTTTTTTTTTTTTTTTTTGAAGAGGTGACTCAATAGTCAGCTCTTAAAAAAAAAAAAAAAAAAAAAAAAAAAATAAGGAACAGGGTTCAAAACCTGCTCTGTCATAAGAAAATGGTATCAGAACATGTTGACAACGTTTGTGATCTCTGAACTGCAACAATGTGGCCGCCTCCAGGACACGATATTTATGCAGGATGGTACACCTCCCCATATTCTTCGTGGCGTTCAACAGGTGTTACGGGCACCTTTTACTGATGCACGTGTGATCAGCCGCTGTTTCCCTACAGCTTGGCCTCCCCGCTCGCCTGATCTCACGCCATGCGACTTTTGGTTATGGGGATTCTTAAAGAATCGGGTCTACCGAGAACACCCAGCAACCTTGGCACATCTGAAAGACACAATTATTCGACATGTTCGTGGAATTAATGTGAACTGACTGCGTTCCGCTGTGGACCATACTGCTTTGCGAATGGAAAGAGTTGTGGAGAACCACGGCACACATATAGAAACATCTGTAGAATGTCTTGTTGATCTGCAGCGTCACCTATCGGCAACTTCTTGTACTATTTTTTGTTTGTTTGTTTGTTTGTTAAATCTCAAGCGCATGATCTGAAGTGTCTGTTTTTAAAATTTCATCACATTATGACCCATGCAACACTCTGCACAGGCCTCTGAGTTGGGGAAGTTTAATTTGGATAACCCTGTATATCATGATAGCTGATTTCTAAAGAACAAAACATTAATCTTTCTTAGTGCAAATAGACACAAAAATAATTAGGCATTTTGTCATCTGTTATGTATAAAAAGTAACTTTTACTGAAATCTGATTTCTTTTAAAATTTGAATACAGCATTGTATATATATTTACACATAACTACATTACAAATATTCAAAATATTTATAGTAAAAAAGTCTGTCGTCCTATCTTGAAAATATGATTACAAAAAATTCTTACATAGGAAAATATCAGAAATGATGCATAAGACTGTTGGTAACATATATTGCAGCAAAGAACCTTTCAAATTAGTGAATTTCATTCACATTTGTATCTATTCTTTTTTAAATATCCAATTCTTTGAAAACATTTTATTTCCTACAGAGATGGTGACCTCTCGATATAATTTACATGCAATCTTATGAGACTACTTAATTACACAATTTTATTTTGATGCTTCTAAGGTGTTTATTTTGCTAATAATGAAACAGATTAATATAATATAAACTTTATGCCATAGAATAAAATCAAGCCAGTCAATCTTTTATCTTTTTTAGAAAGAAGAAACAAAGGAAAAAGCTTTAACTTGTGTCATAAAATTAGCCAGCTAATGCGAGTACAAAAGAGCAACTGCATGTATAAAAAAAGCTACTGAAAAAAATGCAAAACAAAAATTTAAATAACTTCAGTTGAAAAAAAAAAAAAAAAAAAAAATAGGTTTTAAAGTCACAGAACAGAAAATTTCAAATTCATGCAATGTAAGTACTTATAAAACTATTATAGAAATTTAAATTAAATATTGAACAATACACAAATTAATTTGTGGCCAAAGTAGCATTTAATTTTTGATTATAATTAAGCATGAGAAAAAAGGGCACTGGATAAATATAAAAAATGTTATGCAATCAGTTCTTCTACAAAAAATGTTATGCAATCAGTTCTTCTATAAACACATATACCCAAAAAATGTTTGCTTACATATTAAATTCTATATGCACCAAAAATCACAATTCATATCATTATATTACGAAAATATATAAATTTATGCGCATTTTTAATTCAAAAATTCTACATGCATTCATATAAGTCTTCCTAAACATTATTTTGTCTTTAAAACAGGTAACACACAGAACAGTCTTTTTTGGGGAGGGGGTAAGAATAGTATTCTGTTAAAACTAAATCATTACATCTATAAAATTATACCAGGGAGAGAAAATAAGCAAAAAATTTTTATAAAAACATAATTTACTTCCTTCATACATTCTGAAAGCATATAACCTTTCAGGTTTTGTGAAAAAAAAAAAAAAAAAAAAAAAAAAAAAAAACACTGCTGCCAATACCATACATTTTGAATCCTACTAAATAATTTCAAATATAAATTGTACCTCTAAATCCTGCAACCTAGGGACCTTCAGATCTATGCATATGTGGGGAGAGGGGTGATCCACAGCATTACCTATTTATATGCATCATAACAATAGGTCTGCACCTGAAAAGACCAAGACTAGAACAAGATGCGATTCCATATGTCAAATGCACAATCAGTAACAGCCATATGAGGAAGCGCACAACCAAGTAATGGATATTCTGGCATCAAGGAGGTCTAGAACTCTGCAACACAGATTGATCCAACCCAAATCATTATGCAAACAGTAACATTTCAGCACCAGAACGGTACTGTAGGCCCCAGGAAGGAGTTGCAACTCTGAATATGGCTAGTATAGGGGGCCTACACCTACTTACTCATGGTAAATAATAGGCAGCCCCTGCACTTATACCTAACCTAGGGACCTGGCTATTGTCAAACCACAGAGAACAGCAGCAAAATGAAATTAGCATGCTATCTATAAAAATTCTTACTTCCACTTTATTTTCTTTTATACTTTCCTTAAGTTATCTCATTTCTTTGTCTTGCTGAACCATCTCCAAACGCTTTGATCAAATGGTTGATAAAGACTTGGCTCATTATTTCAGTGTCTATCCATTCTTCTAGCTGTTTATTCAACCTCTAAAATATTTTCGGTTAATGCAAGACACTTTGTGTATACACACTCACAGAATACTCAACCAGTCTGTGAACCAAGAACTTTTCACTAGAAACACTAAATCCAAAGAAATCAGATCAATTTTCTTTTTAGTGCTGAAATATTAACCTGGCAAGGATTGTACCAGATATTTTTGCAATGTAGTTTTCTTAATTTTAATTTAGGCAGAAACTAGTTTTAAGTACATAAAGTACCAAGCGTCTTTTATCTTCCTTTTCATTTAACCCACAATATCTGATTTCCCTAATATTTTGGTGGCCAGAGATTTGTGTAGAATTTGATAGAATATTGCTGCTATTAATTTTTTATATATTTAAATAATTTTAATGAAATCATATATAAATTGTAATATCTCTTGTATAACGAACGTAACATGAAAGCCCTCAACAACACAATGCTTCGCAAGAAAAATAAGGTTACGGGGGCATGTCCATTTAACATTGAGGTAAATGGCTAGTTCGCCAAAATGATGAAATATTGTCAAGCTAGCGACAAATTTTTGTCACCAAATTTAGCAGGAAACCTTCAAAAGTTGAGAAACTTGGTGACATTTTGGCCCTGTGAAACTGAATCTGGTCCAATCTTTACGTAACTGTAATGGGTTCAGCAAATGTTCCAGGAATTTCAAGAAAGTGAAGGCGCTGGGAATTTTTTTGCGGAGGGGAAACCCACACAAGACTGGAAAGAGCATCACTTATCAGTTCAGTTCACATATGAGTCTGAGTTTAGCTGAGAGTATCAAGAGATCACTCTGCACGTTTATGCATCGAGGCTTTACATATTGTCTTGTGTTAAACATTCTTATTAGATTGAAGTGGTAACTACATCTAATAAGAATATTAGATTGAGTTTCAGCACTATAAAGTGTTTGTTTTGGGAAAATAAATTTTAATAAGCTATCATTGGTTCTGTATGCATTCAATCCATTATGAACCTGCACATACATAATAATATAGTTTTTAAAACACTATATCATCAGTCAACAGTGACTGACACAACATGAACAAGAATTATACTGTCAGTCATCAGTGACTGACGCAGTTCGATTCGAAAGTATACTGTCAGTCACTAGCATATGGTGTAGTTTGAAGGGACAGTACGGTGCCAGTCACCAGTGTTTGATGCAGCCCAGACAGAAAATATATAATGTCAACCACTAGTTACAGTATGACTACTTATTGTAACTTGATCATGAAACTAAATATTTAATTGTATTTTAAATGAATTTTGAATTCAGGATGCACTAACACCTGCTTGGCAGCAGATTTCTATACTAATGGGCAGGATCATCAGATTTGCTGGACCACAAAGTACAGGATTAAAGAGGTACCACTTGCATCTGCTACATTAGATCTTGAGGCACTTAAGGGTCATTTTCTCCCACCGATTTATCTCATAACCGTGGTGACCTCAGTTGAGGCTGATGGTCGAGTCCTCTAATTATCCCCCCCAACTTCATTTCCATTTAAAATATCCTCCTTCCCCTCTCCCAAAGAAGTTAAAAGTTGATCTAGTAGAAATAATAATAATAACTTGATAATATTCTAACTGAAATCTATCTGAAAAAATTCCCACTTCGGCTTAGGAGTAAATATACAATTTAAAGAAGGGTTCATAAATTTTTATTTTTAAATCAGCCTTTCAATATGAAATTAAAGTAGTTTATTCTTAGAGATGATTTAGATAAATTTTTTATCATATTAAATCTTAACATTTAATGAACACTAAAAGTCAGTAAGCAGTTCTAGATTTTACATGAGTAATTTTGAATGAAGAGAAAAATAATTTCATATCCAAAATTCTATAATCAATTTATAAATTCATTTTTTAATTATACATAAAAAATAATATTCCAAATACAAATTCCACAAAAAGTATATTTTGCAATGAATTATTATAGCGGAAGAAAAAATAAAATTTACCAGCTTTTTTATCCAAAAAGTAGGCAAGTAGACACCTTAAAACTGCTTGATGAGCAACTACTAAGACGTTTTCTTGTCTTTCCAACTCCTATACAGAAACATACAAAATTAATAGTTATCAATTTTTATTTAAAAAGATTACCTTAGTTACCAATAAATAAATAAAAAGTATTGAGGACAAACTATAAAAATTTCATTTAAAATTAAAACTACTATTTTCAAAATATCACATAATGGTTTAATGCAAAATAAACTCTGAAGTACTCTAAATTGTTAAAAAATTATTACATGGTACATTTTTCATCTACTGTGATTTAAGAAAATTTTCTAACATAATCAAAAGGGTTTGTTATTGTAATAATTAGTAGTCGATTTTTACTGAAAGGGTTATCTTATCACCTTTAAGCAGCATTTTATTTCCTAATTTGTCCGATTTCACTGTATTATTATTAGTTAATCCTCTGGCTGATCATCCCGCGATTTCCCCAAGCAACTCAAATGTAGCAAAATTTGCTCATCCTGCAATTTCCGTGGGCATATGTTTTTCTTCCTTTATTGAGGAGTGTATCCCGTTTTTTCCCCGTTTAACCATTGAAATAAATTATATACAGTATTAGGCGTTTAGTTTATATTTTGGCCAACAGATTATCGTTAGTTGTCCACTAAATTGCGGCATTTGAAGGCACGTGGTATTAGCACTCAAACTTCACTTTTTGCCGCTTTTTTTTTTTTATAGAAATGGCTGCTAGCAAACGCTCAGCGATTATCTTGATTATTTAATTAAATTATTGATTAGATTAATAATTAGATTGATTATTAATTAGATTTATTGGATTTGGTGCAAAGACTGTGAAGTTGGACTTTGCCTTGAACCCTGTTTTGAACTCTATCATACTAAACTGCATTTCTAAGGTATTTTCCCCTCAGCCGTTTATATTTTCTTAAACTTTATACATTTTACTTTTTATATTATGCAATAAATAGAAATTAACTGTAATTCGACTGAAATTTATTTAAAAAAATTTTTTTTTGGTGATAACATCTCAAATTGGTTTTCTGGCAACTTAGTTTCTCATGATAAAAATCTATATAAAAAAATATTTTCTAGAAAGAAAAAGTGCGTTTTTCAATTCTCATATATATAGATTTAAAATATGCAAAAAAAAAAAAAAAAAAAAAAAAAAAAAAAAAAAATTGGAAGCGATTTTGGTCTACAAATTGAGCAGTCAGAGGGTTAATCATTTCTGACACCTGCAATTTAAAAGCTATTTCTAATATTTACAGCCATATTTAATTACATAATTAAATCATTATGTATGCTGGTCATTAAAAAGCAATCAATAAAATAGCAAAGGTATTCTCTTAAAAATGGGAATATGAGTATTATCAGTCATAGAAGAATTGATAATACATTAAAATAGCAATAATAGCTAAATAGCAATAAAATTTTACACTTCATTAAACTAAAGTTGAATATTTTGTTTGTATATTGAAATCTTAAACCATTTTATTTTTATTCTTAAAGTAGTTAGAAATATTTTTAAAGAATAAGTTTAAAAAATAAGCATATTTAATTTTTTTAAAAATAAAAGAAAAAAATCAAGTTTATTTACCATTATAACAGGCTCTAATCTGGACACCAGGTCTTCATATGACTTCAATTAAAAACCCACATATTAATTTTCAACATTTATGCATTCAATTCAAAAATAATTTTAACAAAGTAGTTTAATCTTCATTTACTATATTAAAATATTTATCAATATGTATATACTAATGTTTATAAGTTACTGTAACTATATTAAAATGACAAACATACCTCTCCTCTTGGATATCTGTATTTAAATTTATTTTCATCACGAGAAGCAAATTCTTGAGGATACTTTTCCCTTATTTCCTCATATGTCATTTCCTCACAGATACCCTACATATTAATTATTCAAAAAAGTCAATGAGCTTGATTTTAAAAATGAAATGGCATTAGTTAAAAAAATCAGCTTTCTGCAAATTACAATACCAGGCAAACAAATACCATTATATGTGGTTTAACATGCGACAACCATGTTTACTCATGTAGTTCCTTCACATACTTCTTTGTAACCTTTTTCAGCATATGATTAGATATGTTTTATTTATAGTACCAATATATGTACACTAAAAGTATACTGTGTAAGTGAAAAGAATATTATTGAAGTTAATAACATCTTTAACTCTTTGAAATCTAGACCCTTCGCTAAACTCTATATTCAAAATACCGAACTGCCCCAAATACTTTTCCAGTTTCACAGCAATTTCCTCCCCTCCCCGTCCATTAATGCAGAAAATAGGTGTGAAGATTTCGAATGACATCCTCTGTACTTTCTAACAAAGATTCCATTAGCCTTTGACCCCGTTCTTTACAAAACTATTCTGAAGGTCAGACCAACAAGCTTTTCTGGCTTTGTTATGATCACGACTTAGAGTTTGTTTATTTCCGTTATTTTTATAAGAAGGAATAAATTAATTAAAAAATAAATATAATCCTTAAATTTTTAAACTGCAATTTTATTGCTGTTTAAAGTTTAAAAGCACACTGTACAATAAAATAATCAACAACAAAATGTAACGAGCAAGCAAAAAATAAGAAACCTCTTAGGACACGCTGTCTGCAGCAAATGGATACAATGCATTTGGGGAAACTGCACCTGCTACTGCATACCTTATGAAGAGGGAAGAAAACAAGATTACAATCTCGGCCATTTTCGGGCGGTTCTGGTTGTTTCAACGTAGTGCCGTGTCGGGCGGATTGGATGTGAAAGAATTAATACAGTAATATTAGCACATATACTGATATCTGGCTTTTGAGATATTACCACCTTCTTTTAACCTAATTCCTCAGAAATGGTATAAACCTGCGGTTCTCAAACTTTTGACTAACACATACCATCTAAACAAAAATTGAAAACCTTTAGTAACACCACCACAAAGTACTACTACCACCACCACTCTTCAACTCTTTCGCATCGAAAGAGGACCAAATATCTTTTCATCAAACATCGAAAATGCCTGTGTATACCAATTTCTTTTGGAATGCTTTTCCTTCTCCCATGATAAATTGAATACTACAGCACTAACAACAGCCTACTTAAGAAAAAGCAACAACTTCTTCCTTGGACCCTTTTGCTCTGTGTGAAGTTCCCCCCTTGGGACGGGATTTCAACTTCAGGCATCAACAGCTAAACATTGACAGTAAACAAAGGAAAAAGAAGGTGATTTAAAATAACAGAACTACTTTTAGTCACTTGAAAAGAGCGATTGATATATCATTTAACAACTCTTGAAAGCAATGAGCAATACAGTAATGTGAGGGGGGAAATCACAAAGTAAGAAATTATTCGAGCGACCTGCCGCTGTCTGAACGCTCGGGCGTTTGGGGCGACTTCGATGTGAAAGAGTTAAACAAAGCTCAGATCGGAAAAAATTTAAGAGTGTTACAGAAAAAACTCAATCAGGATGTTGAGGTTTTAATTTTTGAATTTAATAGTTAAAAATACTTTGCTTCTTTGCATACCACCTATTTTTCTCTTGCGTACCACCGGTTAAGAACCCGATATAAACCATGCAATTTTCCAAAATCTGTTTTCAAAGCATAAAATTAATTTAAAAAAAAGGGCAACTGTGCAAATAAATATTGTAAGTACTCAAATGAAAATGAAGATTCATTACTAAATGAAAGAACATTAGTTTATCGCAGGATATTTGTTATTTCCTACATGTTAATAGCAGTAATTTATAAGAAATCATACATATTCATATGTAATCTGTATATGAAGTATGTAATGCCCACATGGTGAGTTTTAAATCAATATTGCAAAACTAAATTATTAACAAATAATTCTATAATTCATAAATTTCAAACACATGTACAACACTTCAAAATCTCAATCTCAATGCTTAGTTATGCTACTTGAATGATAGGTATTATTTAAAACTATTCATATATCAAATTAATTCTGGTAGTATCCACAAAGTTAAGCTTTTGATTTATCAAAGAAAACCCTAATTTTTTAAATGAAAAAAACCAAAATACAATGACTATGACCAAAATACAATGAATTAAATACAATGACTTCTCATCATTTTTTTTATTAAAACATTACCTATTAAATAAATTTTATTTCAGAGCGATTTTAAATAGAAATTCCCTAAACATTAATAATATAAATTATGTTATATCTAAATGAGTGATTTATAGTGATCTGAAATTAACACTAAGAATTTTACTACACATTTTAGCATTACTTAGTTTTTATTTATGAAAACAGAGTTTGCATAGAAGTATTTTTAATTTGTTACTTCAATTAGAAAACAGGATACATAATTTTAAAAATAAGCAAAATTTATGGTGCTGGTGTTTAAATGATACAGACAGTTATACAGATTATAAATCTAATTTTTAAATATCTAAGAAACTGAATTTTATTTGATATTTTCAAACAAACATTCTTGAGTATTTGATATTTTCAACCAAACAAATACATTGAGTCTTTTCATTTGAAATCAATATTGTATCAATGCTGAATCTTACTTATTCTTAAAATTCAAGTTAGTATGCATCTCTGAAGATACAGTTTAGCAAAAGATGTACACAGCTATCATTAAAAAATAAAGCTAAATGTTGAAAAAATTAAATTAAATGAAAATCTTGAACAAACTATAATAATGAATAGTAATTATACCAAGAAATATACATTTAAGTCACTTTTTTTGGATTTTACATATTATTTATTAAATACATCACAATTAAATCAGAGATACATGCAAATAAATTATTTTTTATATATTTACATTGAGAATACTTACAGCATCAATTTCATTTAAAGCCTTCCAGCGTTCTTGTGGAGCTACAATTCCAGAAGCTGTCTGAATAGTACGTTTTAGTAAACTAGTCCATACTCTTAATCTTGGGATATTTTGTTCTTTAATGTATTTAGCAAGTGTTCTTGCATACTATGGAATATAAAAAGTATTTCAATAATAAATTCGTGATGATTTAATACATTTCTTACATCAATTAATCAATCTATAATCTACTTAAACAAATAATCTGGGTATTTTGTTAACCTTTTCAAAAACAGCAATTGCAATAAAAGAATATTTTTAAAATTTCAAAATACTCAAATCTTAAAACGTTGATATTAAAATTGAAGAAAACTGCATAATTACCAGCTGCCTTAAATAGTTATCATAAAAAAGAAAGAAAACATATATATATAGCAATTTTAATCTCTAGCTGTTATAATTTGATAAAAATATTTTATATTTCTAATTAGGCATCTCATGATTTATATGAATTTTAATTTAAATTAAGCAAATTAAAAAACAGAAAAAATTTTCTTAACAGTGATTATTGCTTTTAAATTATTTAGTTTGTTACTCGATAATTAAATCTGAAAGTAATTAGTTAGCAATGATTTGATTTCCACTGCTCACTTTCAAATCAGCGAGTTTGTTAATCCCAAATTCATTAAATTTATACAAAGTATGAAATAAATTTTTTTAAAAAATTCAAAATTTCTGCTTCAAAGTGCAAATGCTTGGATTCCATATGTTCAAAACTTAGTGACAGTATGCATTGTTTTCACAATGTAAGGAACACACATACATAAACAAACACATTCATACCAGATTCTCCATTATTTAATAAGAGACAACATTAAAATTTCTGGATATTGGCATCACAGTATAAAATGTATACTCCATATATGTATACTGCAATTTAACTGCCCTCTTGAAAATTTGCATAGGATATCAAACATTACAAACTAATATATAATATCAAAAACTGACACATATGTGAAGCTTTTCACTTAATATAATTCTTTTCATGGGTGACTGCAATCCCATTTTTCAAATCCTGAAAATTACTGTGGAATAAAAATCCAACACACTGTCAAATAATTCAGAAAATTAATATAATACACATACATACACATATATATGCATTTTCAAACTATTTTAAAGCAAAAAGTATGTATTTTTTAGTTTATTAAAAATTAATTTATGATTTACTGTCATTTCTCACACTTATCTACAAAAAAGTAGGTCTCATAGTTACCTACAAAAAAAACAAAAAAATATTTTTCAAAGTTTTTACAAATAATTGTAAAGTTTAGCTTCTTTTTTCAGGGAAAACAACTGTACTTATACTTTTCTTTGCTAACAATTTAATGCTCGGTATGATCAGCAAAACATTTTGACAATGACTTAAATTTTAGGTATTAGAATAGATGTATATCAGAAGTATGCATATCAGAAGGTACTACTGATGAGAAACTTCTAGAAAAGAAAACAGAATGGTTCATGGAATGTAAAGAATTTGATCAGCTGTCTAATTATTCAATAAGTTATCCCCAAATTCTTTATAAATAGGATCTTCAGAGGGATTTTTCTGTTATGAAATTTTCACATGTAATTTTGTGTAATGAGAATAAATAATATTTTAAAGTCTCTGCAGCTAGGCTATCAGTATTGATGGATGTTTTACATTTAATGACTATATCAGCTGTATAAGCATTATCAAGAATGGGTCCATGGAATCGAGTTAAAACAGATTTAATAGGTTTTATAAATGCTTCATGTTTCGGTTTGGAATATTCTCTCAACCCCAAAGTTTACAATATCAGTTTTTTCTGTTTTTGTACATTACAAGTGTCGACACATACCTGGTGTTGAGTGTTTTGAGTCTAAAGGTTTTCAATTTATGTAATCTTTGAATGATATGTTTTACCTATATGAAAATTTGAAAGAGGTAATGAGTGAACATTTCATATTTGGCAAAATAGAAAATACAGAATTTCAGCTGTATCTGAACTACAAACATCCCTAACTTCTACTAAATAATAATAAAAATAGAATCAATAAAATTTATATAGAAAGAGGATAAGGAAAATATATTATATTGCCATGTTATGAAAATAAAAATGCAAGACTTATTGTCATTACATTTTCATCTCAAAGTAATAAACAGTATTAACAGAAAATTATGCAATATTTGAATAAGAGAAAAAATAACTAATTGCAGGTATCCATTAGAGCTTTTACATCTAACATTTTGAAATTTTCAAACATTTAACTTACCTCCCAACCCCTTTCTGATAATTCAGAATCTCCTCCAATCTTCCCTAAAACATTGAATTCACTTTCGCCATGCTATTAAAAATTTAAAAAAAAGTATTTTAATCTGAATCATAATACAAAATGCTATAAAAATTATTTAGTATAAGTGTATAAAAATTATTATAAAACTGCAAATTAATTAAATAATTAAAACAATAATTTCCTTATAATTTTAGTTTCAAAATTAATAATTAATTAAATTAATAAAAAGATTTTGAATTTATATTTTTTATATTTAAATAATCCAAGAGTAACAGTAATTTTAATATTAGAAAAACTGCAATTTATAACTATATCTAATATTTAAAACTCAAAAACATGAATAAATAATTACCATATGATGAAGCAAATACTAAACATTCTTCATATGTATATAGATGAAAGAAAAATATTTGATAGAAAATACATTACTTACTCTAGTCAAGTAAATAGATCGTGGAATTATGTGGATGTTCATCAGATAGTATACAATTCTACTTTGAATATGTCCTTTATAAAAAAAAATGAATAATCATGTAACTATAAAATATGAAAAGGACTTTATTACATTTATATCTTTTTATTTCAATTATAAAGTAAGCAAAATTCATTTACAAAATAAATGTAAATACACAAGTTCCATTGCAAATACAATATAATATCTTTCTTAATTTAAGCATGGAACATGTTTTTAATACAAATGTAATAATATATGAATGCCGGAAAAAAAAAAAAAAAAATGTTTTTTTTTTTTTTCAATATCACTTCATGATTTTATTTGTAACAATAAATACTATCTTTTGGTTCTTTTATATTAACCTTCCAGCACGCGCGCTTGGAAATTTACATGAGCATGCGTGCGTCGTATTTTTTACATCCATTATTTTACCGTTTTGGCACGAAAAACAACAGAAATGAGTGAATATTGATAATAAATTTAAGAAATAAAATATTAATCTTATTATTGCAAAATACTGGTTGCACATAAATGCAAATGATATCACATTCAAATATAAGTAAATTATTTTTTAAGTTCTTATGCTAGTGAGATGGAAATGCAATGATATATTCATTATAGAAATTTTTAAATTTATTATTTAATAATTATATTTTAAAATCGAAGCTAATTTTAATATCCATCAAAGACAAGTATAGACAATAATAAAGGAAAACACCTTGGTAGGAAAAAATGTAAGTTTAGCATTACTTACTTCTGCAAGGAAATTTACTTCTTACTGGTTACTAAAACGCACTTTAAACTAACTTTAATGTTTTTATTTATTTCTAAAGAATAGAAATAAAAGAAAATAAGGAATGGAAATCACTATTGTTCTCCCATCCAAAAGTTTCCCTGTCTTCCTTTTCTTCATCAGATAATTCTTGAAGCATCCAAGGAAAATCAGCTGGTTGCACATATTTTTTTGCCATGAAAACTGATATAAAATTTACAGAGCCAAATGAATTTAAATTAAAATAATACACGGCAATTAATAACACAAAATGACAAAATATTTGAGAAAAAATATTTTAAAACACGATCACACGCGTGTTATAACTTTTATGAAAATGCTGCCACGTAGCAAAAAAAAGCCCAGAAGGACAAAAGCCCAAAAAAAAAAAAAAAAAAAAAAGGCCAAATGACTTCCTGTTGGCACATTCCATGATGTGGGGAAGGGTAGAAAGGAGGAAAAGAAATGACCTTCAGACGTCTGAGCTTCGATATGCAAAAAATGTGCATTAAAAACCGAATTTGTCGTAAATTTTGTACATACGGGCGTGCTGGAAGGTTAATCAATTTAGTTTTAAAAGGGCTAGTATAAAATTTCTAATAAAACAGTTTTCCTCCTTCTCCTTTGTACATTAAGTTCTTTTATAGTTCTAAAGTTAAGTTAGTATACTCCTTTGTACATTAAGTTTTATTTTTATGATATCCTAAATCTTTTTAGTATGTAGCTTCGAGAAACTGTTTATGTTAAGGGGGAATATAAAAACTATATAAAGAAGGAAGGAACAAAATTCAATACAACCAATTCTTTCCAGTTCATGCTTAAAAACAGCAAAGTTAAGGAATTTTATACATTTGGTCCCTAATATGTTTGATTAAGATTTTATGGACTGTTTACTTATTTTTATTGTATTGGACTGCATTATTTGAGATCAACTGATAACTTCCTTAAAGGCTTATAAATACTGAAAAACATTTATAAACATACATTTAATTACCTGAAAAAAAAGCCAGCTAAAAAAGATAATGCACTCTTTTACTGCAGCTAATTAACCTAGAATTTTCATTAACCAGTTGGATGTTTATGACTAAACTTGAAAAACTACCAGATTGGTGGAAAATATAAAATGAGTATTAAAAATTAACTGTTCAAATAAAAAGCATTATAAAAATATACCCTGAAATTTTTCCTCTATCTTCAACCTTAAAATAAATTTAAACTATTAAAAAATAAGTGAAAAATTTAAATAAAAAATTATATTCTTACCTTCATGCCTATGCACGAACACTTTCTGCCCAGCATTATAAACTTGCATGAAGGAATATTTACTTTCGATGACTTCATCTAAAGGCTGGTATACTTTCTTATAATGCTCTATTCTAGACATAAAGTCGTCAAGTGCTTCATCTACATTTCGATTTTTATAGTCTGGGCTATGCACTTTTACTTCCTATCAAAAAAAAAAATGTTTTATGGATATTCTTCCAAATATTATAAAAAAGATACAAATAGTAAAACATATAATTATCATTTAATTAAAAATAAAAGCACATTAATCATTAAATTTATGTATTATGATTGTCTTTCTCTCTAATAATGTGGTAAAAAACTATGATGAATTTTAAGAATGGATGATTTAATTTATAATGAATAGAAGAACTTCAGATTTAGTTACATAGTTACACATCAATGACAAAGTAGTAATTTCTTAAACATTAGGTTATTTATAATCTACATAAACCCCCCCCAAAAAAGGTATCAATATTATGACATATATTTCCCATTTTTATATAATACTGAACTAAATATAAGAAAGTTTCTATCAATAAAATACCTTCTTGAACCATTTTAACATAAGCCGCATAACAGTTAAAAAATATATTAAAATGACTTCTCATTTGTCTCTTTTTTAATTTTTTTAACGCAATCTGCCACTTGATAGTCCTAACTAGCATTTTTTACTTATCCAGTATAAGCAATGCTGCCAGATTTTTTTAATGTTTAAATACAGAAATTAAATCAAGCATTAGCTCTTAAAGGTAACCTAAAATATATAAGATTAGGTACCAATTTAAACAACTTATGCATTTATTACATAATACAAACTTTTGTGGCAATATGTAATCTACTTTTTTCCACAACTTGTTGCTTATGGGAATTTAAAAAAAAATTATTTACACTTTCATGTAAAAAACAAAACTTTTTCACAGTCTTTTGAAGTAATGACTGTTTAACTTAGTCTAAACTAATCAATCTCAAACACACAAAAGACTGTTTAAGATTAATAGCTGTTGTTTTTGTATGAAGGTTTATTTTTTTACCTGAATATTGTATTACAGTCAAACACATGTTAAATTTAAACATATACCGTAATTTCGCACGTATAGTCCGCGGACTATCCGTGTTTAAAATGCGAATTTTTGAAGCTGCGGACTATCCACCAGTGCGGATAATACGCTGGTTGTTCACGGTTAAAATCGTTGAAATTTAAAAAACACGCTGTCGTGAACTGCCGATGATCAAATATAAAAAAAAGCGCGAGATTCCAAGAAAACATTCGTATGTATCGTATCGATAGTAAACCATAGAGCATAGTGCAGAACGAATGAGTAGTAGCAAGTAGAGCTCCTAAACTCCAGCCTGGCGCATCAAGCGATGCCGGATATGAGCACTCAGCGCAACCACAGTCTTGTATCCCAGTATCCTTCGCACTGCTTTAGCGCAACTGCCGGGAGGGGGAAAAGTAGTTGATGCATCAGCTCGATTTTTAGGAGCCTTAGTGCTTGTGTACCTGGAGTACAAAAAAAACCGTGATTCGTTTACTTATAGCGTGGTTTGGCAACACCGAGTGAGTGGGGTCAAAGGTCACATTTCATTACCACTTATCACGAGGATACCACATTGCACAGTATTTTGTCTTTCATCTTCGATGACGTTGATGAAACATCGCCGGAGTTTTACTGCCGAGTTTAAACTCAAGGTAGTTGAGAAAGCTGAAAAAGATGGAAATAGAGCAGCGGGCCTTTATTTTGAAGTGGACGAGAAAGCGGTGAGAAATTGGCGCAAACAAAAGGATGTGTTAAAAAGCATGGGAAGAAAGCGATCCAATCGGCACGGAAAAGTAAAATGGACAGCTTTAGAGGAAAATTTACTGAGATGGGTTCTCGACCAAAGAAATGCCGTCGGACGCTCCACGACAAATTTCAACAGTTAAAATCCGTCTCCGAGCGAAGTCCATGGCAGAAGAGATGATGAGCAGATAACGGATTTCAAGGGAGGGAATAAATTGGGTTTACCGCTTCATGCATCGTAAAAACTTGAGAGTTCGCAGCAGAACGACAATGTGTCAGGCTGTTCCGGACGAACGTAGATGAAAAAAAAAGCTTCTTTCCTTCAGTTTACAAGGAAAGTTATTGCAGAAGGGAAGTATTCCCTAAAAAGTATTATAAATATAGGACGAAAGTTCCATTAACATTTGATTGCCCACCGAATCGCACCGTCGAATACTTGTGGAGTGAAAACAATATCAATAACAACAACTGTCAAGAAAAGACCCAAATTCACAGTGATGCTCGCCTGCTGTGCTGACGGCACAAGGTTGAAGCCGCTCTTAATCTTTAAGAGAAAAACAATTCCCAAGGAAAATTTTCCTCGAAGCGTCATAATACGGTGCAATGAAAAAGGTTGGTGCAACGAGGACATTATGCTCGATTGGTTTCAAGAAGTTTGGAAGAAGAGAGAAGGTGCCTTTTTCAATTCCAAAGGAGTACTAATTATGGATTCCATGAGGGCGCACATAAAAGACAGTGTAAAGGCAGATTGCTGGGAGATCTGGATGTCGGAAGGTTTACATACTTTCACAAAAGGAGGAAATATGAGACGCGCTTCATACAGTGAAGTTGCCAAATGGGTCGATAAATCCTGGAAAAGTGTTAAAGTGTCAACCATCCGATCGGGATTTATAAAAGCCAGGATTGTTAGTGAAAGCGAGGAAATCACTGACAGTGAAGATAGTGATGCTGAAAATGAACTTTCGGACACTCTTCCCGAAAATATATTAGAACTGTTTTAATTCTGATACCGATGAATCGGACTTTGAAGGTTTTCCTGAATGTGGTAGAATGTGTGATTAATTAATATATGATTAATTAGTAAGCACTGTTTTTATTTGTATTTAGCGTTTTATTTCTGAAGGTATATTAGTAAGCAAGTACTTTTTTTCTATTTATACTTAGTTCTTTGTTTCTAAAATACATTAATATCGCCGTATTAAAAAAACGCAATTTCGGACGTATAGTCCTCGGACTATCCGGTGGTGCGGACTATCTGACGATTTTTGAAATTTTTTTATATAAAATCGTGTCTGTGGACTATACGTGCGAAATTACGGTACATGTTTAACCAGGACAAGCAACAAAAATGTATTTAGTACTTGCATATAAGCAGAAACACCTCAGCAGAAGTTGTTGAATTTTTTAGAATTTATCCTATTCTGGCAACCATGTGCAAAACAATTCTTTGGTTTTTGACGAATAGTGTCACCGTTTTCACATGCATTATTATTATTTATTTATTGTGAAATCCAATTTTAAAATATGTTTCTAGAATCTGTCTATAGTGGAAGAAATTGCAATTTTTTTGCAGAATACAATATTTTGAAAATCGCTTAAGAGACCAATTGATTTGAATCTATTTTTAAAGGAAATACCATTCAATTTCCACCCAAACAAAAGAAAAAACTAATCAAAATGTAAAATATGTACACAATAACTAATGTTTTGCAGTTATAAATCATTCTCTTTCTTCTATAAAAATTTTCAGACTGTGCTAAAGTGGATGCACTAATATGTAAGTATCATGTATTTAACCAAAATATAAATTCTAATATCAGTCTTACACGTACAGCATATTTTTAACTCAGATATTTTTCATTTGAATATCTGAATCTAAGATATTGTTTTCTAATATAATAGAAATATCTATTATATTTTAAATGTTTTCTAAATATTAACAACTTTTTAATAATTTTTTACCTTTAAATTAGCTTCAATTATACTAGGATCATCACAGGTTGATTCCACAAAGAACAATTTACACCCGAATTTTTCACAAACTATATCATAAATTAATTTCCTTCTCTCATATGTGGTATTTGTAGCATCATACACCTAAATAAATCAAAAAATATTTTTAAAACTATTTGAAACTATTCACTTTGTTAGTAAAATATTAATACTTTCATTCTTTAATTGTAAATTATACATAAAAAAAGATACAAAAATTATTTATATGAATTTAATTGGCACTTTTATCAATATTATTAGACAGACACTTAAATAAAACCACAGCATAAACTCATATATACACCATGTTTATGTTTGTTATTACAAAGTGTTATTTTGTTCAAACTATCGATCACTGTGCCTCGGCTCGGCTATTGACGAAACGGATACATGGTCTAGTTTATATTAATAGCCGCTAGATGTCAGTTATCTTCTGCTTTGCGTGGTAACCGTCACATGTTTAAAATGGCTGCTGGGCAGCAGAAATCAATTTGTGTTCTTGACTCTTTGTGTTGCGAAGTACAATTCCGTGATTACAGTGCAAAGACATTTCAAGGTGAGATACCAAAGTTACCCTCCGAATGGGTGGAACATTCGCAGATGGTATCGACAGTTTGTATATACAGGACGTGTATGTAAAGGAGAATCCTGGCCGCCCTCATGTTCCCAACAAAAATGTTGTTCGAATTCAAACTCCTTTCCAACATAGTCCTTCAAAATCAACTCCCCGTGCCAGTCGGGAGTTACAACTGCCTACAACAATGATTTGGCGTGTTTTGAGCCGTCGGTTGGTTATGAAGCTGTACAAGTTACAATTTTTACAGGCTCTGCGTCCTGATGACAAACACAAACGTGTGGCATTTTGTAACAAAATTATTGATGCTATTGACAATGATAACACTTTCGCACAATGCATCATGTTCAGTGATGAAGCAACTTTCCATGTTAGTGGTCATGTAAACAAACACAATGTTCGAATTTTGGGCCTACAGAACCCACATGCAGCCATTGAACATGTACAAGATTCGTCCAAAATCAATGTGTTTTGTGCGATATCTCGATCATCTGTTTATGGCCCAATTCTTCTTTGATGGAAACACGGTTAACGATCAGCAGTATCTCGCTATGTTATAAAACTGGCCGTTTCCGAGGCTGCATGAAGACAACTTCATTTTTCAACAAGAGGAGGCACCCCCTCACTGGTGTCACCAAGCACGTGATTATTTGAATGAAACTCTACCGAACCGTTGGATTAGTCGTCAAGGAGCTGGAGACTTAGATTGTTTCAGCTGGCCTCCATGGGCACCGTATTTGACAACCTGTGATTTCTTACGGTGGGGTTTCATTAAATACAACGTTTATGTACCAACACTTCCACAGAACCAGGAAGAGGTGAAGAACCGGATCTGTACTGTCATAACATCAGTGACGACAGACATGCTTGCCCGAGTATGAGAGGAATTTGAGTATCGATGTGATGTTGTTCGTATCGCTAATGGAAGACATATTGAACATCTGTAATCCGAGCTTGAAAGGTTCCTGCATATGTGTGTAAAGTTTCATATTCATATGTCATACAGTTTAATAAATATATGCATTCAAAATACATATATTCTTTTTGAAACATGCTGTGTAGCCCACATCCTACTAGAAAGAATGTAAGTTAATTAATTCTTTTTCTGGCCTTTTATATCTTCATGTGCATTCCCTTTTCTTATTATATATACATTAATTTTCAATTTTTATTATTTGATTTGTTTTTGCATAGATTGCATTATATTTCTTAATTTTCTAATATTTATTTCAATTACTTCGAGTTCTATTTCAAATTTCCAATTAAGATTACCATTGTTTAATTTTTTACAGATAGTTTTGAATTAAAATGCATAAAAACGAGGATGTTGGGGGACAATTACTCATACTTTCTCAATTTTACTACAAGAATGAGTTCTTTGTTACTCTACTTTGGTTCTAAATACCTTCACTTCATGGAAATATTTGGCCCAACTTAATTTGCCAGTTTGGCATCACCATTGAGTAAAAGACGAAACACCTTCGTATTTATTTATTAATTATTGTTCATTAAATGGGAGTTGGTTTGTTCCCCTTAAAAAGTCAACTAATTTCCAATCAATAGCAATAATTACTTGCCTTTAATTTAACTTCTTTTTCCAATTGAAATTTTGTTATTCATGATTTACGTCAAGTCCTCGTAAAACATTTTTAACTATTTACATTCAAGTTACTTTAAAACAATTTTTGGAATTAAACTTCCTACCTATGAGTTCACTCTTTTTAGATACTTCTACTAAAATTAATATTTGGAGATAATATAATCAAATTTCTTTAGTGATAATTATTATATATAAATGAATTATATATAAATGAAAATATATATATAAGTGAATTAGTTTCATACATAAAACATTAACATTATAAATTTACATAAATAATTCGTATAAAACATAGATTCACAAATATTTCAAAAACAAAAAAATCTTTTTGTTAAAATCATTTATAATGTTTAATATTAAATAATAAAAATAAATAAACACTAGATTCCATAGAAAACATTAGCTACTCCATTTACAGACAATGAATTTAGTCATACAAACTTACTTTTTATTATATGTTTACTACTGTGCAATGTGTAATATAGCTAAGACTGAAATTAGGAATAAAGTGCAAAATTAGGTTTTAATGTAATACTGTCTCATTACCCTGAATATTTTCCAAAATAAACTACCAATCTTGGGTTGAAATATTATCAATCTTATCATGCAATACACCTTTTTTCTAGATCCATCATTTTAAATTTCACATATTACCATATAATGGTATGGTTTATTTGATTATGGCAAAGCGCACGAGTGCTATCTGCCAAAGGGGAGGGATGACTTTGTGGAGGACTTTCTGAAGGAAACTGGCTCGTATACATATTACACATAGAGAAAACCATGAAAATGCCCAAGCAGCCAGCCCTTTTGAGGGATCGAACCTCAGACCGAATTGCCAGTGTTCAGCAACTTTACTGCTCGGCCACTGGTGGCCCTTTACCATAAAATGGAAAAGGAAGAACATTGTAAACGTGTGGTATCTCACATTCACAGTATCATTATTAGCATATGTGTTAAATATTTAACTAATAATGAAATATACTGCATACTATTGCATTGAAGAGTACTAGTGTTTATTTTCCAGAGCAGCTCTTTAGTCACTGACAAGATTTTAATAACTAATTTTTTTAATGCTTAAGGCAGTCATATGTTATTCCATTTTCCAGTTTTGATGTTCCAGTTATTGCAATGAGGTTAATTACTGTTTTGCCTTTTTGCAATTCTATTTTTGTGGGGAGGTCCCCCCTTTCCTCCGATCCCATGTATTTTTGATGCATAGGAGTTAATGATATATAATCAAACACCTTTGCAGTTTAAAAAAATTACAAGTAATGAAATTAAAACATCAACATTTCCAGAATTTTAAATTTCATAGCTGAAGAAATTATAGCATTCAGTAACCTTACAGACTACATCATTCCACATCTGAATACTACGGAGAAAAATAAGATGCTAAAAATATACAATTTTTAACATATAATCATAAAAATAACAAAACAGGAGAGAAACTTACAGCTACTTCTCCATCTTGTTCGAGCCACTTGCACATGTCTTCAAGAGCATCTAAAGCACATTTGCTGAAAAGAAATAAAAATATTCAGTTTAAATGTCAGAAAAGAGTACAAAGAGTTGTAAATAAATAATGAAGAAAAGTAAAAAATATTTTCTCTGATAATAACTAAAAATACGTATTATTACGTTACGAGTAAAATTCATATTCTGAACACCAGAGTTAAAAAATGGTTTGGATTTGAGCACTTCTAATCAAAAATGCTGATTCATAGGTCTAAAATTCAACTGTTGAGAAAATATGGTCCCCCCCCTTTTTGGAGGTGCTTAAAAAAATTATAGAATAATCTCTGATCAATTTTCATAATCTTTGCTCTTACGAACTTTAAATTTTTAATTGCTGCAGAAGTCCAAATATTTAAATCTAAAGCTACCAAAAAGGATAATCCGTTAAAGCAAAGTTCTCAATCTATGCTCCTGTACCTCAGTTGTTACAGGAAAATTAAATAAATGAAAATTAATGATATTAGAAAAATTTTAAATAAAAAGTAGAATCAAAATACAAAACAAAAAAATATATATATCAAAGGATTCAGATTTAACAACCACTCAAAACTTTTTTATGCTTTTTAACACTTCTGTTAAGACTTTTTTTTTTTTTTTTTTTGGTATTTTTAGCTTTATTAGTAAAGCGTCATTTTCTTCGAACTTATGCCATATACAATTTAACAAAATTAAAAAAACTGTAAAAGCTGAATCGCAGCATACGTTTAGAATTGTCAATGCAGTATGCAGTGTTGGCATAAATTTTTCTTTCTTTAAAAAAAAAAAGTGCAGTTTTTGATGCAAACGCCTAAATGTTTACTCATATTGGTGGGTCAGAAGGAATGGAACAGAAAAATATCAATTGCTTTCCCTAACAAAAAACTTACTGAAAAAAAATAACAGCACAACTTAAAACAAAAATACAGAAAAATATTCTTGAAATATTCATAACTTTGAAAGACTTGTTTAAATATTATTTTTAACAGCTCAAAACTCGATGACTTTAAGTGGATTTTGAACGTGTTCAGTGTGAATAAGAAATCATCCAACTTAAATTCAGCAAGAATATATGGTCTTAACAAACTTGAAATCTCACAACAAACTAAAAACTGCATTCCAAAACCAAAGTCTCCCGAGATTTGGCTGCATTTACAAGATTAATAAAACACCTTGTCCAAGATATCAGAATTATTATTGCTGACGTTCTTAACCACATACATTTGCGAAGCAAGATTCTCTGCATATACAAGTACAAAAGCAAAATACAGAACCAGACATTCACCTAATGTTATCCTCATCAGAATTTAAAATAAATAATAACTTGAAAGAGTTGAATTACCTGAATTCATTACCAAAGAGCTTTTTTAATGACAAAGTTCAATATTTCACTCCCATGAAATGGACCCGACTGAGCTATTATTCTAAATTTCAAAGTTTTAAAATAGTTTAACTGCACAGATATTATGCTGTTGTATAGATATCTCTTGACTTCACATTACCTTACTATCTATCCCCTATTTCTCCTCTAACACTATTGCTAAACACTATTAACTTGTAAAATGTAGAGTAGGTCTAAGGGGCTCTGCTGTAGAAATTGATTCCAAATAGAATGTGGCATACTGTCATCACTCCAGGACCACACAAAGATAAGAAATTCATGAGTGCAGTCTCCCACAGGTCACAGTGTCCGAGCTATTATGAGGTGTCAGATGACAGGCTCTGACATTGGAGAAGGAATTAATTCATTCAGTTTTCTGGAAGATGATAAATCAACCACGGCTTTACATCTAGCGCAGCAGTGCCCTTTCGGATGTGTCAGGAACATGCCCCTTTTCCATCCATCCACATGGGGAAAAACTGACAAAGTGCATTGAACATAACCCATCAATGTAAGATTAATACATGGACTCAAAACATGGCAACAGGTCATTCCTCTTTATTCATATGCAAAAGGCTGGGGAAGGGCGTATGGTGATCCAAGGAGCCATCCGACGCTCGCAAATTTGAAAGAGTTGAATTACTTGAAATCATCACCGAAGAGCTCTTTTGTGACAAGTATTTCACTTTTATGAAATGGACACAAATTCTGTCCCCAAAGCCAATGCAATCTCTCACTTAGCACTTTTGATTTAACCCATAGATGAAGCCACAAGCAAGCCTCTACAAAAGCATCAAATGCATTGAAAGCTACAAGCCATAAATCACCACAGCACAAAGGCTTCCCGAGTTAAAACGTTTGGGAACAGTTGCCTTAGAAGGAAAACAGGAAGAATGGGATTAAGTAAAACAGGATTAACTTGGGACTTTTTTAGTTTATTTCTTTTTGAATTAAAAATTAGGATTTTCTGTGCTAAAAAATAACTTTTTCTGTTATTCTGGTAACAAATTTTTACTAAACTAATATAATATTTTATTAGATTTAAGTTTTATTTTATTTTTTAGGCTTTTTTTAATTTTTTTTTTTAAGATTTGGGGGGAGGGGCATTTAAGTAATTAAGGGTAGAGGACTGACCTTTGCCTCCAAAAACCGTATTTTCCATTATAGCATTTGTAATAATTTCATTTAATTATTTTAACTGTATGAGCAACTGAAGAGAATAGTTAAAAATAATGACTTAGCCTGTTTTATTAAAAATTACACAAGCATTAAAGAAACAGACACTAACAGATTTTACTTAATTAATTAAGAACCTTGTCATTTAAATGCTTGAGAAAATATGACATTCTGATATTGAGCAATGTAAAACTGGTAACAAAACTATGCAGTTTAATATTTTCCACCTAATTTCTTAATCATGCATAAATACCCAATATTATTATTTGAAAAAATTAAATTTTGAACTTTTTATCACTACTCAAAAGTCGTTAATCCCGGATCGTCGGACTTCGGCCATTCCGGATTATCGATTTTTCTGATTATACATCATCAGTTTAAATCTGGTAAGATGGCATGCAGGAATTATAAATTAAAAATATGAAACCGTAATTTTAAATAAAGAGCAATTATATCTAGGGTATCAAATTTACAAAAAAAAAACTTAATTATTTGTTTACTTTATTAAACATTTCTTTCAATAAGTGTTTAAGTTGCTTCATTTTAGTGATAATACTTTCTCTTAATTCTATAAATAGACATATTTCTTGCTCATTACAAATTCCACTGTTCAAGTGATATAATTGCTATGTCGAGAATACGACTAATTTGTCAATCGAATTTTTTAGTTTTCAATACTTCTGTGTCACTTTCTTCGCTATCGGAAGCGAATTATAATGACGAGGATTTGATTTAAATCATATCAAAGACGGAGTACTTCGAGATGAATACTACATTTATAAGGAATTATGAGCCAAATAAATAAAAACACTGCCCTGAAGGATAGTGCTGACAGATCAACTTCCAATTCATTGTGCGCCGCGACGTTCCCCCCACAGAGCAGCGTGAAATTGATAAACAGATTTTGGAATGGTTAGAGAAACATAGGATATGGCTTTATCCATTTTTTGCAGCAATTCCACTTTTTGTTTGATGGACATGGAAACATACTTTCGCTTTGTAGATCATTTAGCAGCTCCAGCATTGGAAATTCTATTTGACATAATCGAAAGTTCAAGCTTACTTTTATAAAATTGCTCTAACAGTCTGCAAAAAATAATAAGCTGGATCCAATTCGAAGATTAAGGAAAAACACAATCTGCAACATTAACTGAAATAGATAATTAGATCATTTTAGCTTATACCATCCGTTATACATTAAACGCACAAGCGTAAACGTAATATGTGCGGCCGTAAAGGTATTATGCGCATGCGTAAATGCCTATGCACATGCGTCAACACGCCGCATGCACAGAAAGTTTGTAGCTTTGAGGTTCGGATTATAGATCATTCCGGATTATGGGTGTCCAAATTAACGACTTTCGACTGTATTACGAAAAAAAAAGTGTAAGAACTTTTAAATGTCTTCTACAGAATGCAGATAAACATACTATGTTAAGCAAAAATATATTTATTATGCTACAAATAATGTTAATATAAAAGTTACAAAATTATGTGTATTTAAGAAATCAACTTACTTTCTGATAGCCATTGCTTCTTTGTTGTCAGGATTAAAAAATTCATGATTTCTATATGCTTCAGTTGCCTGTCGCCGATATTCCCCAACATTGAAAACTAATAAAAAATTATCAATACAAAGATTAAAGTATAATAAAAATATGTATTGAAGTACTTATAAATAAATCATACAAGATTTGAGTAATCAAAAAAGAATATTACGAGAATTATAAATCATACAAGATTTGAGTAATCAAAAAAGAATATTACGAGAATTCAAAATTTATTTCCCTATTACTGGCAGTATTTCATTAAAAAAAAAAAGTTAAAGCAATTGGCAACATACTGTAAACACTTCTGTCCATCAATCATAATAAACTACAACAAAATACTTTCTTATGATCCACTACAATATTACAATACATTCACATAAAAGATGAGGTATATTCTAAATGGTTTCTAGTGCATCAGCGCATATATAATTGCATATAATAAATACAATTAATATAACATATACATTAATATAATTAATATAACAGGGATATAATGATTATCAAAACGGCAGGATAAAATTAGGAAAAGGATGCTTTTTTCATACTTATAGCATATGGAAAACTTTTTCACTAGCTTGTAAATTTTTTTAAATATTTATATTTAATTCATGTTTTAAGTATTTCCATACTGTTGCATATTGCTTTTAGTATTTACTTATTTAGTGTACTTTGAATGATTATTTTATGCTTATTTATTGTTCATATTATTTAATCTTGAATTTTTGGCCATTTATGTTTGTAAGTGTATATTTTGTGTATTATTTTGTTGATCCTTTGGGTCCAAAGAGCATTTGAATTATAAGTATACTCATGAAGAACCTGAGATATGTGCAGAAACTCTTCCATTAGATATTGCTGACAAAAACTGTGAAGTTTCAGAAGCCCTAGAAGTGATTTTTCTGGAAGCTTCTCCCTCCTGAATAACTATATAAACAAGAGGTTAGAAGCGGTAACCAGTCAGTCAGTTTACTTTTAAGAGTTTACACTGCTAAGTTTCTGCTTAGTGATTCCTGCTTTTCATTTTGTTCTATGAAGATTTTGGTGATCTATGATATTCTTTGCAAGTCAAGCAGCATTTTAAGTAGCTCAATCCCCCCCCAAATTATTTATAGCTGATTTTGCACTTCTTTGATAAAATGTTCACCTCCATTTGTTCTGAAATCACTGCAATTACTAAATATGATCCTTCAATTGACTGTATTGTCAAAAGACTAAGAATGGTATATTGACTGTATTGTCAAGAGACGAAGAATGATACATTACATCGACACCTGTTTTCCTCACTTCCGCTTTATTTATTTTTTATTTGCTAAGGATAGGACTTTGTTTCCATTATTAGGCTCTTCTCCCCTCCCCCAATTTCATTCAGTGAATACCTATACTCACTCAAGTGTTCAGCTTTTCACTCCACAACCCACAAGCTGCAAGTTTTGTACTTCATTTCTAACATTACCAACAACCTCTGGCATTGCTTTCAAGGATACATGTAAAAATGCTTAGTGCATTATATGTTTATTTTATTTCCAAGATCCTGCATGAGCTGTCATTTACCTGGATAAAAATTCATGTGGTTTAATTATTCAAGGAGATCTCTGCGACTCTATAAGCACACAACAATGTTTATTCTTTACTTCTCTAAATGGCATGCCCTTTTTAGTCTGATCATGAAGATCTGTATTTATACAGCATTTATTAGTTATATTTGTATAATTACTTATTTTAGTTTTTGTTTTCATAAAGTTTCATTCATTAAAATGATATTCACATCATTAAAGAAAGTACGAAAACATATTTAAAGAGAAATATTTTAAATTATAAGCTAATATATGCCAAATGGCAAAAGCTCTCATAACTAGATGAAGGCAATTATACCATTCAGGGGGTTAATATAACAAATGGTAAATATTACATCACATATAAAGTATGAATAATACACACATATATATATATATATATATCGATACATGTAATTTGAAATATGGTATCATAACTACCGTGTTCTAAGAATACATTTCATATATAGCTTTTAAGAGGAAAAATATTTCGGTACTTTTTTATTCCACATCCCCTCCACCTAATAAAGCGAACTCGTTGATGACTTTGGACAGCAATCCCAAACTCATTTAAGTCTAATTTTTCACCAAGATAATTCACGAAAGGCAACAGCTACTTTCAGGGTTCATACACTTTTTTGCACATGAAAATTAATTACTTTTAAGATCATGAATTCAGAACCTATTAACAAATGGAAATTAATATTATAACGTTTAAATATTAATTGAATATAATATATATAACGGGAAAAACAATTATCTACACCTGAATTTTACTTTTGTAATGCCATTCTAAGAATGAAACAGATCCCTAATTAGGATCTGAGTTAATATACTCTTGTAATCCAGTTAATAATCCAATTAACCAGACTATAACCCGGTACTCTGAAGTTCTAGTACCAGAGGTGATAATTCGTTTTGTATTAAGTCTCAGGAATTTCACATTTTTGTCTTGTATCTTACATCGATGGTAAGAATTAAGAAAAGGTGATAACTCACTTTAACATGTATAGATAACATCCAAGGATGAGCACTTAGTTACAAATAATTAAATTCAATAGTTAGATAACTTTAGCCATTACAAATTTACATGATCACTATGAAACAAATTTTTTATTTAAAAGAAATATTCATTATAAAAGCACTATTAAAATTACAATCTAAAATAATCTTTTTTAGTTTAAGATAGCAGATAATTATGCATATAATTTATAACATTGATTATAAAGCGATTTTAATTTTTATACATTAAAAGCTACAAAAACGTATGTTTTGTAGCAATAACACACAACAAAATATTTATGCATCTTTTAACTTGAAAATTTTCCAAATATTTTGACTAATTTATAGAAATTTACTTCCCTTTAGAATTTTTTTAAGTTTATTTCCTTAAATAAATAAATCATTTGTTAATGATTCAACAATGTACATTTAGAAAGCAATTTGCTTTTTCTCCATGTAATCAATATCTTCTTCAATAAGTTTCCTCTTCATTTTAAAATTTTAAAATTTAATTAACCCTCTCAGCATTATAAATGTAATTTTTTTTAAAATTCTAAACAAGAAAATATAATTTATTCATGACATTTTGAGGAACTTTAATATTTCAGGGTTACACCTGTAATAGACTAGAAGAGAAACACGCTAATGTGACAAACAAAATCGTAAAAAACAACCTTATATTTAGCGTAGGTATAATGAAACACTCAATCGATTTCGAGGGCAGCTAAAGGTCCCTCCTCATCAGGAGAAAGAAATACATAGAAAGAAGAAAATAGGAATCAAGAAACACGTGGTGCTTATCAGCATGCACGTGGTTATAACTAGATTTTTAATCAGAGTTGCACTGGCCGCCTACTTTTACTGAGCCAGGCTGTCTGATCAAGCATAAGAAATATAGCGAAGTTAAAATAGGGAGCGAGGGGCAAAGGCACATTACGCTCAAAATCTGAACTTCAAATAATGGAAAGCAACCACTGAACGGATTTATACCCTCTGGTATACCAAGTGCGAGGAGGTAACGCCATCTATCGGCAAAAAATTGAATTAAGACATAGAATTTAAAGGCGTAGAAGGACTGGTTGGACTTCAAATCTAACTAAATTTCTAATCTTTTGAATGTGAAAGCCTCAAGAAAATCCAATTCGCCTATGGAGAAGCCTTTTGATGATTTTGCAGACCCAAAATCAAAATTATGGTTAAAAGTCCGCTATGATACGCTTGAAGACTTGTTAATTCCCCTTTTTTGACATAAGATTAAGAGAATAAGAAGGAATTTATAGTAATCAGTTCAGTGGGTTAAGATATATTGGCCAAACAAAAGAGCGTTGAATTTCGTATCAAGGAACATGAATCTTATGTCAAAAAAAGGGGAAATTAACAAGTCTTCAATAGCGTATCATAGCTGGACTTTTAACCATAATTTGATTTTGGGTCTGCAAAAATTCATCCAAAAGGCTTCTTCCATAGGCGAATGGATTTTCTTGAGGCTTTCACATTCACAAAGATTTAGAAAGTTTAGTTAAGATTTGAAGTCCAATCCAGTCCTTCCTAATGCCTTTAAAACTCTACTGTCTTAATTCAATTATTTTTGCCGAGAGATGGCGTTACCTCCTCGCATTGGTACTACCAGAGGGTATAAAAAACCGTTCAGTGGTTGCTTTCCATTATTTGAAGTTCAGATTTTGAGCGTAATGTGCATTTGCCCCTTGCTCCCTATTTTACTTCGCTAATATTTCTTTTATGCTTGATCAGACAGCCTGGCTCAGTAAAAGTAGGCGGCCAGTGCAACTCTGATTAAAAATCTGTTATAACCACATGCAGTGCTGATAAGCCACGTGTTTCTGTGATTCCTATTTTCTTCTTTCTATGTATTTCTTTCTCCTGATGAGGAGGGACCTTTAGCTGCCCTCGAAATCGATTGAGTGTTTCATTATACCTACGCTAAATATAAGGTTGTTTTTTACGATTTTGATTTACACCTGTAATGCTCAGAGGATTCAAGATTTCCATTATTCTAAAAACTACATGTATTTAGAATGTATAGAAGAAACTGCTAATTTTGTATCTTTAATAATAAGAGAATTGAGAATAACTATGAAATGATATATGGTGAATTTGACACACATTTGAATATTTAGAACACAGGGAAAAAACTCTTCATGTAAAAATATAACAGAAGAAAAATTAATTTTTAAATAATTAACAGGGCTTTTGCTGCAATGTGTTTTGGAAATTATGCTTCATAGTATTTATTATCTTGTTTATTAATTTTTCAAAATCAAAATATTGCTAAGTCACCAAAATGGAAAGTAATGTCATTTTAAAATATGTAATATGGCATCTTGCCACCGAACAAAGCCAAAGGAGAATACACAATGCGACACTGTCATGGAGGATGTTAAGTGAATAAAATTATATGTAACGACATGAAGACAAACTTTTCTTCAATATAATACTTTCATCTTGCATATCCTTAATATGTTTGCCTAGGTTTGATATGGTTTATTTATTTATGTTAAAGCACTCGATGGCTTGCCTTCATGGAGGACTTTTTAAGAGAAACTGGCTTGTATATGCTAGGGAAAAACCACGAAAGTGCCCATTTGCTGGGATTCGAACCCTGGACTGAACTACCAGTGTTCAGCGACTTTACCACACAGCTGCTGGTGGGCTCTGTGTTCCCCTAGACATTACTGGACTTAGGTTTATTCTACGACGGGAGTTCCACAAATATGACAGGAAAAAATATTTTTTAATATTATTTTAATGTTATTTCTTAATTTTTAATATATTATCATTATTCTAATGAGATTTATCAGTTATGTCTGTAAAAAATAAAAATTACCAGAAAATTCACAAATTTCTGAATAAAAAATACTGAATAGAAATTGATCTTAAAATAAAAAAAAAAAAAAAAAAAAAAATGTTGATAAGTGCAAAATTTAGCCACAGAAAGGGTTTGGCTTATTTAACTATGGCAAAGCACTCGAGGGCTGTCTACCTAGGGGAAAGAATGCTTTCTAAGGAAAACTGGCTCATATACACATTACACAAAGGAAAAACCACAAAAATGCCCATACAGCCAGCCCGTTCACCTGGAGTTGAACCCAGATCAGAACTACCAGCAACTTTAGCACTTGGCCACTAGTGGGCCCAGCAACATAAAAAAGAAAATCGTTTTTGATGTAACATTTTTTGTAAACGTGTTTCGATCGAGATACAGCTTTGAGGCCAGAAACTTAATTATCACACCGTTTATATTAGGAGTAAAAATAATTTTAAAAAAAAAAATCAAGTGCATACTTGCCAATGAATTGCCAAAAAACATTACTCCAAATTTTATATTCATGCTCAAAATGCCAGTCTTAAAAAACAGACAGAAATGTCAGATGAGTAAAATTAAGGACATTTAGTGAATTTTATCTGAAATTAAGCATGTGTAATAACCAAAGATTGTTTGCAAAAAAATTTAAGGTCTTTTATATTATGAACCCCGACTTTAAAAATGGTGGCATGCTAAGTATTCTATACTAGAGCAATCAACCAATAAATTTATAAAAGCAAGAAACACCCATAAAAAACATTTTCTTTGTCAACAAATCCTTTTCTGCACTTTTGTTTTCCCTGTGTACAGTTTTCACTTTAAAAAGTATCAGAAAACTGCAAAAACATTCTGTATCAAGCACCAATCAAACAGACTTCTAATAAATAGACCTTCTGGTGACATCGCAGGTTGCCACATTACTATTTTGGTGACATACTGCTATATCGTGACTTTTCAGTTAAGGTGCAGGCAAATATTGCATACCAAAATATCTTACATTTTACAAATATTAAGTTCAGAATGAATACATGTTTATAGTTTAAAAAACAAACCTTCTGCATACACCATCAAAAATTCCCTTCACAACAGAACTTTTATACACAAAAATATACAAAATAGTTTCATTTTTAATAATTTCTAATTACATAAGTAGCAATGAGGAACAATAAATAAATCCAAATTATCTTTCTAATCACTTCTTAACTGAAATTCTATTTTTAATTTTTAGTTTTCTAGCCAACAGTTTTCTTTTCTTTTTTTAAACTAAAATAGTCCAACATCCTAAAAATTTACACTTTTTAAGGCTTCAAAAAAATATTCATACTTGCTAATAACTTTTGTTCTATAAATAAATTCCTTAATTCTTTTTTAAAAATCAATGCTTTTTAATTGATTAAAACAAAACAAAAAAAAAAAAAAAAAAAAAAAAAAAAAAAATGGACTTCAAGAGAGTTGAAAATTTTACCCCTTCTATCAATTTTTTTAAAATTTTATATTATTATTTATTGTTATTATTGCTATTATTTGTTCTTCAATTCTGAAGAATAAGAACATTCTTTTAGAAAATATGAAATTTTACCTCTTGTAGTTATACCAATCCAATTCAAATAACGAGTCAACTTTTTGGCAATATAGGTTTTACCACGAGCTGGCAAGCCAACCATAGCAATAACATGAGGCAAATTGACATAATTCACACGATCTCCTATTTAAAAAAAAAATTAATAAATATATATATAACACAAAAAATAAAACATTTATACACATAAAATCAATCATCAATACAGAATAAATTAAGGCTTGCATATTTAATTTGCAATTAACCACAATATATTTGGTACTTGTGTTAGTGCAACCATCATGGTCCATTTTTTGGACCTTTCAAATAAGAAAAATACTACATATTCTACGTTTTAATTAATCATTAAGAATTAATCTTAAAAATTAATCATTAAGCTTACAAGAAAACTTTTATTTATTTTATTCTAAAAAGAATTTTGCGGCGTTTACTGTAAGAATAGATTCAAAGCATTTGTCCCCTTTAGCGATTTTGTAGTAGCATGATGAACTCCTGAAGAAATTTCACCGCAGTTTCATCGAATAGAAGCTAATCCAACAAGCGCATGTTTTTAAAATAAATTTAAGACAAAAAAAAAAAAAAAAAAAAAATTACAATTTGTACATAAAAACTGTTAGAGCTCGGAATACTACAAAAAAGAACAAAATAAGAAAATGCTATAGCTATTTGTTAGAAACTGAAGAATTTGGCGCATTCTCAAACTTTGGCCACTTCTTCCAAAGTACGCTAATAGGCACGTACTATATCCTTTATACCAGGGCTTCTTAAACCCTTTTCAGTCGCGACCCCTTTTCATCACTGAGATTTTTTCGACCCCCAGGACCCCATAATATTTACGGAAATTTTGTAGGACCCCATAAGTAATGCGCAAATTCGACACACGCGTGAATGAAACTGTCCATTTTTTCACTTATTACTGTAATACTATGCTATTGCAGTTTTAGGTCATTAACTTTAATTACTAATTTTAAGACCAAAAAAAAAAAAAAAAAAAAAAAATCTGAAATGTTTCAGATTTTACATTACGCACAAAGGGGCATTTTTTTAACGTTTTTTGTGTGTTACCTTTATTTATTGAACATCATGTTCCTTCGCACTTAAACCATAAAATGCAATTCAACAGCAGTATCGCAAAATAATTTCAATTCAATTTTCGTGCTGAAGATTTCAGAATTTTCCGATACAGAGACTCACGCGCTGGAGATAAAAATGTTTTTTCTGCACAACGTTGCCATTGCTCGCTTTTGAAATCCTTGAGTTTGTTAATCAAAATTCGTCAAAGTTTTAAAAAATAGGAAATCGATCATAAAACAAATTTCAATTTCAAATTTGGGTCTTCCCACATGCTCATATTCGTTTGGAGGATTACGTTATTCAAAATTCGATGACTCTATGTACCGTTGTTTTTATCACAATACGAGAAATATACATACATTTATGCAGAATTTTCATTTATTTAATTTCTTCAAATATAATGCAGGACTCTAACATTTTATGGCAACAGTTTGAAAAGTGAACCGACATTTATCCGTCCGACGCAAAATGACAAAACGAAACTAATAGTCCTTCGGGATTCAAATCCCTTTGGATTAAAAACAATGTGAAAATTTTAAATAAGTAACAGACGGAATGATAGCGTCCGTGCAAAGCAAATAAAATGAACTTTCATATTATAAAAAAAGAATGCTTCCAAACGTTTTTTTTTTTTTTTTTTTTTTTTTTTTTTTTTTTTTTTTCCCTCTTTGTCTCTGTATTGCCTTACCTTTATCTATTTTCAGATACATTGTGTAAAAATATTTGGTAATTGTAAAAGTATTATAAGTCAAAGAAATATCGAAATTGCTCAAATTTTTGGCGGCCCCTGCTGCAGGTCCCACGACTCACAGTTTAAGAAACTGCTTTATACCATAATCTTTTTCATGCTTAATACGGACCCTCAGGGAGGGGAGGGGAACTTCATGTACTATATGCCCCATCAAGCACATGAATAAATTCTCTCGTGTATCTGTCTGCAACTTTATACATTTCCTTTGAAAGTTCGAAATTAACGTTTGATATGGGCTAATATATAGTCACAGTACTGACGGTAATATATAGTCACTGGCGTCACAGTATAGCGACAAACATATATGGGATTATTGTTAGTGTTTCTGAAGTCGCCAAAATTTGCGAATGCGCCAAATTCTGGCAAACATGAATTTAAAACTTCTTCAGTTTCTATCAAGCGCTGTACCATTTTCGCATTTCGTTCTTCTTGTAGAATTCCAATTCTCTGAAACTGAAGAAAACCTTGAAGTCTTCTGAAAAATGCCGCGTATTTCTTGCTTTTTATATGATTTTATCCGGCTAACATAAATGAAGTCACAATCCCACCTTAATCAGATCTTAATTTTCTTTATTACTGCAATTCTTTGAATTTTATTAGCTAATTTTGATATTGAAGTAGCACATTAAGTTATCTTACACAAGCATTCCATAGCCACTAAAATTGCTGTATCATCGAATTAGATCTTACTTTCAAATTCATTTATTTTCCGACAAACGGACTGCCTCATATTGTACAGCTTATGCAAGAAGCTTTGAGGACAGCGAACTGGACACCACTGTTTCACACTACCATAAGTTTACAGGAAAAAACACTAAATACGCCGAAACTAAAATAAAAATTGGTATACAAAAACTGAAAGATTTTCCTTATTTTATAAGAGAAAAACTTCAGTTTCCATAAAGTTTTGTAATATAAAAACTTTGGATGAAGAACATCCCATACATAATTTAAACTCTTCTCTTATAAAGATTAGCAGATTTACCCCTACCCTGAAATAAAATTGGTTAGGTTTTTAAAATCTGCAATTTTTATATCTGTTGACGTTGAAACTGGCGATCATAAAATTAGCTTTCTCAAAAGTTATACACTGACTACCAATAAGTATTTGGACACCTATGCAAATGACGATATCTGCGGTCCTAAGGTACGTCATGGACCGGTACGTCCGCCGGTAAATATCGTGTAGGAATAGCTCGGCTTTGTCGCATGCCGATGCCTCGCAGTTGAGCTCTATGATTTCGAGAAAGGATAATTATCGGTATCACAAATGTGGCCGATCCTTGGGACATATCTAGCGATCTGAAGTACCAAATCGAAGTGCTATATGATAAGAAGTGGAAGGTGAGCGTGACTGTCGGAATGTGCCCCGATCGGCAGACCACGAAACTGGAGATAAGATCAACAAGTGCTGTCCAGAGAAATCGGAGAACCGCACCCAACGTGGCCTCATCCGCGAGGGTTTCACAGGCATCCGGGAGATGTTTCAATGAATACCATCCGTAAGGAGCACATATGCTTGGTTTAATGGCGTGCTGCTGCCCATAAGCCTTGATCACAGATCCAACCGCGCTCGGTAATGTGGTAAAACAATCGAAATCGGACCGTGACCAGTGAAACGGGTTCTTTGGAGTGACGAACAAGGTCCCTTTACGTTAAGATGGCAGGGTCGGACTGAGTATACTTAGCCCTCTCTGCAGAATGATTGGGCCAACAGTCAGTTCGAGGAGGGGAATTATGGTTAGGGGTGTTTCTCTTGGTATGGGCTGGACCATTGTCCAATTCATGTAAGCTCAACTTCGAGCCTACTGCACTATTTTGGATGACATTGCTTCCTAGTTGTGGCAGTTTACGGTTGGACCCCTGTTACTTCGGACATCCAGTTGTCAGTTTCGACGTAACCAAGGTTGGTATGTGCCCAATGGAGTTCATCGAATGGACTGGTCTGCAAGGTCGAGAACCTAGGGAGAGTTGCATGCCGATCGGGGTGCACTACGCGTGCAAAATCGGTGAGACTCTATGCCTTCTCCAAGCCGATGAGAAAATACACTAGCTGTCATACAAAGACTTATGGAAAGTTGCCCCGGAGGGTCCACGCTGTAATTTACCTCTCGTGGAGGCTCTACCAACTATTGATTTTGAATAAAGTTGGTTTTCTTTTCTATCACAGGTGTCCAAATACTTATTGGTAGTCAGTACTACTTAGCCTACTGTGATAATTGATTTAGTGGAAACAAGCCAACTTGGACATCAGGCAAAATTCAGCTTTTAACTGGCGTTGATCTTAGAAAAAGTTTCTGGTGTTCCGAGAGAATCTGCAATTCAGAAAACTTAGACAAAACGAAATCACACTCCATTTAAAGGCCCTCTTATGCGACCACCTTATTTCTCCGAAACTAAATTTTAAAACATTAAAAAAAATTATTAAGTTACAGTGTAATTAATAAATACATTATACAATAAAGAACAGTGAAACACGTCCTAGGTAATGCTTTTGAGTATTGCAACGACAGGCGCAATGTTGCCTCCTCGCGACAACGAATTTTGTGGGCATGTTCTGATATCAAGCAAGTAAGATTAGTCACAACAGCAGCAATAGAATCAATCTTCATAATAAAATTTTAAGTAAAATTCAAAGTGATTGCATAAATATAAAATATTTTCTTATTATTAAACATTCACATATTTATTTGACAACGATGTCGCCAATTGTTACTACAAGACCACTATTCTTGTCGCTAATATTGATAAGGAATTCAATAAATAAATAAAAGACATCCTGCTTAGACAAAAGACTACCTTCACCGTCTTGCAGCACGAAAAATAATCATAAATGTGTAATGTCTTTGAAGCATTCTTTGAAAGTGTTTTTGAAGAGCTAAAGTTTTAAATGCCTCATCGTCGATTCTTCATCCTGATGTTTTGATAGAATACTTCCCGAAGAATTCAGTGTAGTAACTGGTATTGTCCCATTTGACATCTGACTTTTTTTTTCCATTTTTTGTAACATTTAGAGTCATGAAATACACTCAAGCTGATTATTAACTTTCTGGCATTTTCTATGCACAGGTCCCAGAGAAAAACAGTTCTGACTGTCATACTACTTATTTCTTTCCAACTAATTATATTGTTTCGTAAACGTTTTGCTACGAGATATTACATATCAGCACATTTTCTTCGGACGCATACGAAATTTCAAGTTGCAAACTTTGGTACTGTTCTGTTATCGGGACCGGATTCGCCGCTAAATGTTTTGCTAAGCTCGCCAAAAGATTGGTTCATATGAAGTCGCCAATGTTTA